TCAAAAAAAAAATGCCGCATAAATGTATTTTTGTTTATAAATCTTTGCTTCTCCTGTATGATTTCAAAGACAACTAGATAAAACAGTATTTATAAAACCGTGCTAATGGGCTTATAATGTATAAAGATATAATTTGTATGAAAATAGGGGGGATAGAGGGGACAGAACTGTATTGGAGCAAAGTTTTTGTATACCATTCTAATTGATTCCTGCGCTTTATGTAAATTATACCTTTATTTTTTATTTTTTTAAATAGGTGGAGGAAGACTTTGGGATAGTATAATGATACTTGTAGAAACAAGGAACCCTGGGACCTGAAGCTGGTTATCTGGCAATGATCAGGAATTGCAACATAGCTAGGTCTCATGTCTAGAATATAGTTTGGGCTACATTCGGGATCTAATACAACTCTCTTGAGTTTAGGCACCAACATTGCCCCTTCCTCAGAAACAGAAGTTCATTGATCCCTACAAATATTATTAACCTATTGTTGCAAATATTAACCTATCTCCAACAAATAAATGTCTGCCTCGCTGTGTATTTTTTATTCTCCTTTCACTACTAACACACACTTTTTATCTCACACTGTTTGTATGACTTCCTAAAAAAACTATGATTGGTCTAGGTATTATCGTTCATATCAAGCAAGGTTTTTATGCCAAGACAACTAATGAACTGATAGCTGTTCTATAAATTGGCTATGTTTCAGTCAGAGATAATCAGCTGGAGTCAGTATGACTAGGTTAAGTGCTCAAAAATGGCCACGTAAGCTTAACCATAAAGCTAGAGTTGCTTTGCTACGCCTGGGACTCTGAACACAGCATTTGTCCTCAGAAGGGGATGGGGTAAGCATGTAAAAGAAAACCGCCTCTCCAGAGTATTCTACAAAAAGTAACTCTTTACAGCCTTTCTTCCATAGCCCTTTCTTTGCTGAGTAAATCATGAACCTTCAAAGGAGAAAGATGTCAAGAAATTTTTATTGCAAAGAAGATAATAAATTTATTAAATCAAAGTAAGAATCAAAAACTATGAGACTCACCAACATATTAAGAAAATGTATAGATATATGCCTGTAACAGCTTGTAATCTTTCTATCAAGTTCAGAATTAAATATTCTTACAGGATTGTCCTATTTGTATGCATTGCTCTGCCATTCCACTCCATCATGTAATAAGCCCAATTTAGAAAAGCGGATAGTGAGACTCTGAAATATTTCCCTCCTGAGGTTATCATTAGAATCTTAGCACTTATTAAACTTAACATGAACAGTTTAATTTTCATTTTGATGAAAAGAATAGGCTTTAATATGTATATTTTACAATAGTGACTGATTAACTGTAATGGCTAGGGTACTCAATTTTAGAGACTTAGGATAATTCTCTAGGAATTATGCCAATACCTTATTCATTTCTGTAGTGCTATTTAAACATTATTCTTCACACAAAATGCTTGTAAAAAGTTATGTCTCTATTGACAATAAAAAACAATTGAAAAGTAGCAACCTTTTTCTCAGTGCTTCAAGACTTCATATAAGCTATGCAAATTGATACTGTTGACATTTTAATATATATTTAATTATATACTTGGCAAATTTGTTTTAAAGATGAACTATGATTAATCACAGAATTTTCATTTTGCTACATAGAACTTTTCTCCTACAAAATGTCCACTCTGCCCCCAACGTTAAAACAAAACACACTCCTAAAAAGCAATCTTTATAATCCAACAGTTAAATGAAGTTCCTCTTCACTTAAGGGGAGGGCATGAGTCCTATACATTAATTATTCTGCCCTGATATAGGACTTGCCTCTACCAAAATAGAATCCCACCAAGGAATATTAGCTCTCCATGCCCATTCTACCTTGCTAAAAATTTAGAGAGGTAAAATGAAGAATCTAATAGAAGTTCTCAACAGGTAAGGAAATGGGAAGGCTCTCAACCTCAAACTAAATAATGATTGCATTGACAGTTTGGCACTTGCCCAATCAGGCAGGGTTTAAGACTAAGTGGAAAAGAGCATGGTGTATAATAGGTATTTTAAACCTTCAAACAGAGAATGAAATCAAAGACACTGGTTTAAAAAAAAAAGTCTTGCTCGGCCAGCATGGCTCAGTGGTTGAGCGTCGATTTATGAACCAGGAGGTCACAGTTCGATTCCTGGTCAGGGCACATGCCTGGGTTGCGGGCTCGATCCTGTGTAGGGTGTACAGGAAGCAGCTGATCAATGATTCTCTCTCATCATTGATGTTTCTGTCTTTCCCTCCCTCTCCCTTCCTCTCTGAAATCAATAAAAAAATATATATATTTTAAAAGTGTCAGTAGTTACAATGCACTGTATCACCTTCCCTTCTGTAACTAAAATGGCTATTAAATGTAACCTAGTTATAACATTTTTTTTACTTTCTCTAATACTAAGGTAAAATACACTATGGAAATCTGCATGGAATGTTCTTTATTTTTAGCAGGTTCGGTGTTACATAGTTTTACTCCTTTCAAGTACATGAGAAAATATGATCCCCCAAAATACAAAAACAAATCTGGTCTTATATTAAATCTTGATCTCCACCATTTAATATAAAATGTATTTTGGGGGGTTTCTGTTAAGGCAAAATAGAAGTTTTTCATCAGAAAAAAAGGATTAAATGGCTAAGATATCCTTTTTGGGATAAAATTCACCTTTACGTCCCTCTTCCACCAGTACTATCTTATCTGTCCTAATCCCTTCAAGGTTCAAGATCAGTAGCACAAACAGAAATTTTCTAGTTTTCATTGTAGATTTTTTTCTTTTAAAATTGTTTTCAGGATGCTTTAAACATTAGCTTTACAACTATTATTTCAAATTTATGTTTACAATTCATCGTACAGCCCACATTCAGTAAGGTTAGGACTTTACACCTTTTTGGATCACAGTCCATTTAAGATTTTAACAAGAGCTCTTTCCAGAGAAACAAAAAATTACATCTAGTTTTACAAGAAATTCAGGGGTTTCAAGTCTCCACTGATATCTGTTTAGCCGAAAAGTCCTAGTAATAAAGGAATGAAATAAAATAATAGGTTTAGATTGAAGGTTAAGATTTCAAAGGTTTAATATGTGTGTGTTTTTTTAAAGCAGTCTATTTTAGGTGTTGAACAAATTTTTTATGATTGGTCAAGCAAAGTTAAAATATTTACAAAGGAGGGAGTTTTTAGTTTTAGTCTTAGCTGATCTTACAAGAACTTTTCAAACTCTTATTAGATGTATACAGGCTGCAACAATTGTGCAAATGGAGATATTGCTATAAAGAGACATGTCCATAACCAATATTAGCCAGTAAATATATACATGAACCAGAGGAGTTAATGTTCATCCTTGAAGCAAGAATTTATCAAAATTAATCAGTAAAAAAACTAAAATACACAAAATAGGCAGTACTTTCTAGTACTATTGATTTACAATAAACAGACCCTCAGATTTAGGTAGATTATTTGTTAAAACACCATCAGTTATCAATGTACGCTATATAGCAAGCATGTCAAACTCGCAGCCCACAACAAATATTTTTGTGATCCAACCAATATAATGGTATGTAAGAAAAGTTTTAATAAAAATTTTGTGACTTAATTTTTACAATATCCTGTTATACATATTAATAATGAACTACAATGTTCGCTAATGGCTGATTACTATAATTTTGTTGCATTCATTTCCCTTACACGCCTTACGCGCAGACACATGATTTCTCTCCACTAATTCTAGCTTTGAATATTTTAGCAGCCGATTGCCATGTCATTAGCCTTGCACTGACTTGTTTGATGTGTGCAACAGGAAATATTTCGCTTTCAGAGAACAAGAAAAATAGGTTTATTTGGATTATGCTTATTAATTTGTGCAGTTATTCAGTGCTTGGTAAGTTAATGTTCAAGAAAAAATATTAATTTTTATTAAAATGTACTATTATTTTGTTAGCGATTACTCATTTATTTCAGCCCTTTGTATTCAGCATGTCTCTATCGAAATAAACCTACATTTCTATGAAAACTGAAGCTTTTATTTTTTTGTGGCCCACATAAACTTAAACCTGTTTTATTTGGCTTGTGTTAGCTTTTGAGTTTGACATGCTTGCTATATAGTTAAACATAGCTATTAATAAGTCATTCTGGATGCACTACAAGCATGTATCCAAATAACCAAATGACTACAATCTATACTAATAAAAGCATAATATGCTAATTAGGCCAGACAGCCAAACGACCTTCCAGATGTCATTTCAGATGTCCTTCCGGACTAAGCCACGGTGGCGGGGGCCGAGGCAGAGGCGGTTAGGGGCGATCAGGCAGGCAGGGGAGCAGTTAGGGGTGATTAGGCAGGCAGGAGAGTGGTTAGGGGCATCAGGCAGAGGCAGTTAGGGGCGATCAGGCAGGCAGGCAGAGTGGTTAGGGGTGATCAGACAGGCAGGCAGGGCAGCAGTTAGGAGCCAGCGGTCCCGGATTGCGAGGGTGCAGGCTGGGCTGAGGAACGCCCCCCTCCAGTGCACAAATTTTGTGCACCTGGCCTCTGGTCTATATAGATAATAGCCTAAGTGACTGTTACGACCGGGCGCTATGACAACACACTGACCATAAGGGGCAGACGCTCAATGCAGAAGCTGCCTCCTGGTGGTCAGTGCGCACCCACAGCCAACCTCCCATGGCCGGCCAACCTCCTGAGGTCCCCCTCCCCTGCCTCGGCTAGCCAGCCCTCACTAGCCAGGCCGAGGGACCCCACCCATGCACGAATTCGTGCACTGGGCCTCTTGTTTAAAATAATTGTTAATTTCTAGAGCAAATGCAATTACTGGCTTCCACCTCATAGTTAAAAGCTTAAAAAATATTTTAAAACTTCAGTCATTAAATATTTGTACTTGAAAATATGTTGGAAAGTATGTATAATTTGTAATAACATGAATGAAAAAGAAATAAAAGGTAATTCTGGAAATGTGAACTCTCTACTCCAAAAACTAAAAATCAAAAAACATTTCACATATGATAATTAAGTGGGCTTTTTATTTATTCAAGTAAACATTTTGATTATAATACATGATAATTCACATGTGACACAGTACTGGAGTCTATTGTTTGGTGTAGTCTCCTTGTCTGTAGGATGACTTTCTAGGTGATTCTGCAGGATCTGACACCAATGCCCAACACTGGCTTCCCAATGGCCATGCACGGGTTTAGAGGCCGCTGCCTTCATCTATCTTTCTTCGGATGCCAAATGCCATTTTCTCCCACCCAGTTTATCCTCCATTACTTATAAAAACCCCACTCTAAAATTCAACCTAAGTTATAAAGTTAAAAAAAACAGGAGTTAGTGTATATTTTCCAAAAAAAATATTACTAAGTAAGACTCTACTTATAATCTCTTTTTTTCCTCTAACTTCAATTTTGAATGATTTACTATACAATCTTTAAAAAGTTAGAGTAATACACAACACAAAATATGCAAAGAACCTATTACCAAATGTACATAATATGTTGGAAATTTCTAAAGTACTAAAAAGCTTAATTCTCCTGGAATAGCCATTCTCTACTGGCAGCTATAGTTTACAAACAGAAGACTGTGCTTTAATAAGTGGAAATACAGTACCTGATTTGGTATAAAGTAATTGTGAGATTTTTTCTCACCAGTAAAGTGCTTAATTAAGAAACATTCTTCCACCACATGATTTAATTTGTCAAAGGCACAAAATATCTGTCTCACTGCTTTAAACATTTTTTTCACTTAAATTTTACTTAATCTGAAAGCTTTACTGTTCTTTTTTTTTTCTGGTAAAAAACAAACAAAAAACTACTTGAAGAAAAAACATTTAATTTTTATTTTCAAAACTTTGCCACAAACATGTATTTAACACTAAATTTGATCCCCTCATGAGATTTCTGTGTGCCATGTAGCTCTTATGACAAAAACATATGCAAACTTTAGGGTAAAAGTTAACAAGAAATAAAAACTCCAAAAAAGTGTGGACAGGGGAATCAATAAATTAAATATCATAGCTTTCATTTTATAAAAAAATAGTTTGAGTAATCTTCTTATAAATCTTTAATGCCTACAAAAGCAGGAACTACATTTCAAATAGTCTTTTAAACACAGATTAATTAGTACAATGTGGTTGTGGTCAGAAAAATAACAACTAAAATGGCATTTTCAGTCAGCAGTCTAAATTCTCTTTTCAGGAAATTCCACATAGAATTTAACAACTTGCAATTCAAAATGAAGTTTAACTTTCAACAGGTCAGGACTGTTATAATTAATATCTGCTTATCACACTCTTTTCCATTGAATATATTTTACTAAAATTTTAAATACAGTTTGAGGATAGGAACTGATAACAATACTTGACTGCATAGTTATGCTTTGCTGCCTAAAAAATACTTTGGTCAGTAAATTAAAAAGATATAAATCGAACAAGGCCTAAAAAGTTGTTTTAGAACAAATTTCCTGACCTTAAGTGAACTGTAAATACACTAACAAGTCAAGGAAAAATATAATCATGTATGCCGAGAGGTCTCTATTTTTTAACCATTTGGCATTTTATAGCAATAATTTCCGTGTTTAAAATAATATTTTATACTCCTGTTCACTGATTATCATAGCTCTCTGAATTAAAACTAAACTATAGTTACCTTTTTTAGAATGTCCAGTAATAAATGCATTAATTGTTCCTTTTGCACTTCCATGAAGTCAGTCCTTCATCCTGTAACTTTTTAAATTTTGGACCAAAACAGAACCACCACCCAAATCCAATAAGCACACAAATAATGGACTCCACATAATAGCCATCCAGCGCTGTAACACATGAGCCACCGAGTTTTTTGCAAAGCTGTAAAAATAAAACTATAATAAATATTCCATAATTTCAAAATGGAAGTATTTACAAACTTACATGTTTCTACTTTGTAATTTAAAAGACTGATCAAAATTTATTTTTGTTACATGTTAATATGTCTTAATCTCTCTAATGCTACTAAGAAGGTTAGAGCAATTTTCAGCTCATGCTGTAAACAATACTCCAAAAGTCAGCTAATGGTTACTTTGAAATAATCAACAAACTACTAACTACTTGGTTTTACCTATAATTGTTAAATGAATAGCTAATGAAATTTCCCTTTTGCTGTCATTAAAAAAAACTTAACTATTGCCGAGACCGGTTTGGCTCAGTGGATAGAGCGTCGGCCTGCGGACTGAAAGGTCCCAGGTTCGATTCCGGTCAAGGGCATGTACCTTGGTTGTGGGCACATTCCCAGTGGGAGATGTGCAGGAGGCAGCTGATCGATGTTTCTCTCTCATCGATGTTTCTAACTATCTCTCTCCCTTCCTCTCTGTGAAAAATCAATAAAATATATTTTTAAAAAAACTTAACTATTAATAATGCATTTATTAAGTACCTATTGTGTACAACAGCGATCCTCAGGTGGAAAGAGTGACTGCTCCTCCCTTGTTGAGAAGCATCCTCAAGTAAACTACTCTTATTGATTTCAGTTGCATTAAACCCTTAGTTATGATGGGAAAGATGTAGATTTCTGTACAAGAAACTATGGGCAGACATGGTTTTTAAAACAGATATAATACTTCTAAAGGCAAAGCGAGGAAATTAATACCTTAATATTAGTTTAATGTTATTTAAAATTACAACATACTTACCTCAATAGTATCAGGTGTTCGACAACTCTGGTTTGATGCTCCTACACACTCTTTCACAGTGAGGGGATCCACTAACCAAAGGGCTACTGTAGAAGGCCAGTTTCCTCCCAGATTGGACACGGTGTTTAAAAGGGTCATATATGTTCCTCCAATAAGTGGATCACTAACCTTTGCATTAAAAGCCATTATGGAAACATACATACTGTACAATGTAACCTACAAGGAAAATGTAAAACATCTTTAATATGATTAGGCTTTATAAAGCTATAGTCTGAATTAAGAAAATTAAAATTTTAAACCTTAAAATTAATTTTCATGACCCTTATTAAACTCAAGTAAAAAAACATTTATTGAACATTTTTTATTGACTAGGCTTTAGGCCAGATCATGACAATATAAAGATGACTAAGACAGTCTCTCTGTGCCCTTCAAGAATTTATTCTAGGCTGAGAAAATAGGTAATAAATAAATATGATGAAATGCAGTAAATATTCTAAATAGAAGTATACAAATTGTACTACTGGGGCTTAGATAAATGAGAGCTTAATTTACTATAAGTAGTCAAGGAAGGCTCAAATGAGAAAATGACAGATGAGGTGGCCTTGAAGCAATATGCAAAACCCCATATTTGTACTGTACCTAAATATCTATATATACAGAGCCAGGGTTCGTAACGTCCAAAATGACCAAAGGGACGACCGAACGCCAGGCTGCACGCGCACAGGCTCAGGTGGGCAGGGACTGGTGGGCAGGCTGAACTGCTGACCTCTCGGAGAGAGAGAGGCAGGCCTTGCCAGCAGCTGAGCCTCTCTCTCTCTCCCAGAGGTCAGCAGTTCAGCCCGCTCGCCAGCAGCCTGGGGCGGCTGCTGATCAGTCCCGCCTCTTTGATCAGGCCCCGAGATAGGCCTGGAGATGCTGACTAGCATAGAAACTGACCAGTCAGAACCTAATCTGGCTAACTGTGAAGGCAAAACCTAAGGTGAGGGCTGAGGAGGGGTTTTAAGGGCAACAGCTATTTGGTGTAAGGTGTAAGAAAGAGGTTCAATTTTTTAATGACTGGTTTGGCAGTATAGTGCATATGGCTAGCTATCAGTCCAGATATAGGGATTATGTATTTTTGTCTGCCAAGAGCATCTCCTCCTGCTGAAAAAGGCCTTTCCCCCCATTTAAGCAATCCTATCCTATCTAATCTATCTATACTACTTAAAAGGTAATTTTATTACCCAAGGGGTCCCCAATTGGAGAAGGTGCAGGCTGAGGGAATCCCCCCTCCCCGTGCACAAATTTCATGCACTAGGCCACTAGTCTATTATATATATAAAAGGCTAATATGCAAAGTGTCCCCTCGGGAGTTTGACCAGGAGACCGGGAGTTTGATCTCTCGCTATGATGTGTGCTGACCACCGGGGGGCAGCGCAGAATGAAGGAAGGCCCTGGCCTGCAGCCCAAAGGCCCCAATTGGCCCTGATTGCTGACCAGGCCTAGAGACCCCACCCGTGCAGGAATTTTGTGCACTGGGCCTCTAGTATTATATATGTGTGTATATTTATTTTATGTATATATGCATTATACATGTAAGCACTCAAATATAATTTTTGTCTATATACATAGAAAAAAAACATTTCAAAATGTATGTGACAAATTGAAGAAAAAAAATCTTAAAGGCAAAAGTGCTTAAGAGGCAAGAATTAACCCTCCATTTAGGAATATGGAAATAAACCATGCTTCCAAGACAGCATTCCCTTGAATATTGTCCCATGGGATGTTACAATATCAAATAAGACTGAGAAACACTGTTACATAAAATTAAACAGGTCCCTTTCACTGTAGGCCTTTTAAAGCCTTTAGGATATAAACTCCTTAGGGCAGGGATTTCGGCATGGTTTATTCACTGTTATGCTTTAGTATTTAGAATGTTTTCTATCACGGAATCAGTGTCCACTTCATATTTGTTGAAGGAATGATTAAGATGCTACATAAAGAGGGGTTGTGTCATGTATCATTTCTCAAATTTACTTGGCCTTGTACCTTTTCTCCCACAAAGCATCTGGTTGTCTGGGTTTCAATGACTACACTTTAAAAAATTCTCTAATGAAATCTAAAGCCAAATGAACGATTTTTGGACTACTACATCATAGTTTTCTTTTACTTAGACAGGTAGTAAAGCATTTGTTAAGCTAAAGCACTTCTTTTAACTTTTATTTAACTAAGTATGTGCAAAACAAAAGAAAATTACATTTGACACCCTGGCCTCGATGGTTTACATAGTCAGACATGATCCACTGGAGTTCTTTTAAATGAGACAATTGGATGCAAAAAAATTACTGAGATTATTTGGTGGACATATTTTTAGTTTCCGTTAAAAACAAAGTGAGGAGTCGATAAATATAACTTTTAAAATGTAACTATAACTTTCAAACGTTTAAGTTAGGTTTCATTGAAAAATCCAAAGCGACTCTAAAATACACATTAGCAATAACTGCAGTTGAGTCCCAAGGATTCTGCTGGGCATCTGCCATTTACTTGAATCACTTGCCCCCAAACAAAACCCCATTGTGCAACAGTAGCTTAGGTTAGGCTATAGCAAAGTGGGTATCACTTTCTTTAGGGATTACAAACATATTTAATAAAGAAAGAAAAACAGATCGACACACAGCTTCCAAAACCACAAAGAGTAAGTTATAACTTTCAAAACAGAATCTAAACCAAAAACCTGTAACCTTTAACCCAGAAGCCATCCTTATTTTTTAATACTTACAGAAAGAAAAAAATATTGGGACTACAGGAAAGAAAGAACCCAAGTCTAGGGATGGACTGAGAAATACTTAGTAAGGATAGAATTACTAGTTTGAAATAAATTTTGAAATGTAAAAAATATTTGTCAAATGAACAAAAAAATGAAATGAATAAAGAAAACACTCTTTTCATTAATAGAACTCATTAAATCAAAAGTAGTAAGGATTAAAGTACACTGTCAAATAATTTCATTGTCAGATCTGTGCTTAAATCTTAAAATTTATTATCATTATTTTAAAGCCACTGTAGAAAAATGTCTTTTTTTATTTTACCAGGAACAGTTTACTTCCTCAGAAAACTACAAGAAGCTTACCTGGTGTAACGCATAACTCAGCAGCAGCATGATATAGTAATATACAGGGAATCCCCCTTGATGTTCTACTTCAGGAGTCCACCAAACCAGCAGAGCAAACTCTAATCCAAGCAATAATCTATAGGGGGAAAAAAATGGAGCTGACTTCTATTTTAGGTTAAAAAACAACTAAAACAGAAATCTGTGTGTCTACCACAGGAAAGAAGCTTGTATCTAAAACCTATTAAGCTAAAAAAGAGAGAAAAGTATATATAAAAGATATTAAAGATGCTTTCAAGCCTTTTTCTATATATACTCTACACACAGGTATTAGTGACACTAATGAATGTTCCTCATTTAACCTTTCTTATTTAAGAAGATTCTATTTTGTTTTTACCTGTAGGGCATGGCTTTGTAAAATACATCTAGTGGCCGGGGACCTGAAGTGTACTTGCTGATAATCAGAGGCAATATTATCTGTAAAGGAACCATTGGAACTGCCAATAAGGCTAAATGTTCTTTAGGTACTCCCTCTTCTACCAATTTCAGTCCTGTTACTGCATCTGCTGCTGAAAAACCAATCTGCAATATAAAAACAGAAAAATATTTTAATTTGTGACTTAAGAAATATTTTCTTCCAAGCATATGTAAGTTCTCAATAAACTCAATCTCATGATTAACCCCTAACAGTTACAAGTATGTTATTATATCTGGTACAACAATCAAGTTAGAGAAGGTGCACTTTGCCCTATGGTCTACTGACAATATTCAGTGAAAACAACTAAAAATTCAGCACTCTTAGGAACTGTAGATGGCTCTAATTACAACAAAATTTCCACTTCAAAAGTTCAATCTGTTAAAATAAAGTGTCCAAATCCAAACTTACTGATTTGTTTAAGTTTTTTAAAAAAAGTCATTAATTGACTCCAAATAAATCTCATTAAAATGGAGAATCACTGCCACATATACACATTTTTGATGATTTCTGACTGACCATAATACAAATTTCAAGTCTCCTAACATTTCAAAAGTAATTCTGAGAAAACATTATATCTGAGAAGTTGAATAAAATGAGGGAGAAGAAAAAAGTATAGTTAGATTAATTCTTAAAAACAACAACAAAAGTAAGGATGGTAAGAGTAGTAAGTAAAGGTTGAGGTGAATTAAGATACCTAGATAATCTCAAATTATTTCCCCATAAATTACTTTTTAATTACAAAAGGAAAGGAATGTTATAATGGGTTAACAAAGTAATCAAAGTTAACAGCAGTTAGTGGAATAAAGGAACATGAAATGGCTTCTGAAGTAATTACTTCTGTGATATTTCTGACATATTTGTATAACTGAGTCTAGAAATAAACATCAGACAAACATAAATGAAAGGCCAATATTCTTTTAAAAATGTTCAGATCATAAAGACCAAAGAAAGGCTCATGCCAACTAAATGTAATGTGTGGTCCTGGGTTGGATTCCTAACAAGAAAAAAATAGGTTATAAAGGCTATTACTGGGACAATGGGAGAAATTTAAATATGGACTATATGCCGAAACCGGTTTGGCTCAGTGGATAGAGCATCGGCCTGCGGACTGAAGGGTCCCGGGTTCGATTCCGGTCAGGGGCATGTGCCTGGGTTGCGGGCACATCTCCAGTGGGAGGTATGCAGGAGGCAGCTGATCGATGTTTCTCTCTCATCGATGTTTCTGGCTCTCTATCCCTCTCCCTTCCTCTCTATAAAAAATCAATAAAAAATATTTAAAAAATAAAATAAATAAATAAATAAATAAATATGGACTATGATTAGGTATTAATATTGTATCAATTTAAAATATCCTGCCGTGGCTGGGTGCCTCAGTTGATTGGAGCACTGTCCCATACACCAAAAGGTTGGGGGTTTGGATTCCCGGTCAGGGCACATACCTAGATTAAAGGTTCCATCCTGTAACAGGGTGCATAGGGGAGGCAACTGATCTATGTTTCTCTCTCACATTGATGTTTCTCTCTCTCTCTCTCTCTCTCTCTCTCTCTCTCTCTTTCTCTTTCTCTTCCATCCTCTCTCTACAAATCAATGGAAACATATCCTTGGCTAAGGATAAAAAAAACAAAACCCCGATTATTTTATTAAGTGTGGCTTTGCCATTCTTAGGAAATACATGCTTATGATATTTATGGATAAAGGGTCATGGTATGTACAAATTACTCTCAAACATTTCAAAAGAAATAGGTAATAGAGTGCAAATTTACAAAATAAAGGGGAACTAAAAGTTAATAGAGAAGTTGGATAGGTTATATGTGAATTCTTTCAACAGTAAATTTTTAATAAGTATGAAACTCTATCAAATAAAAAATTGTTTAAAGAAATATACTTTAACTTACTGGAATGGAGCCAAAAATCAAATTTCACCATAAAAATATTAAAGGTCAAAGATATTTCACTTAAGTCTAGAAAATAATTTCACCCATTTTCTTTGTAAAAATCAGATATACAAACTCACTTCAACATTTACTCTGTCTTAAAACTGGTATAGATAGGAGATATTTGTAATAGACACAACTAACAAAAACCTCAAATCTAGGATATATAAAAAATCAAAATTCTACAAATTTAAAGAAAAAGTCAACTCTGAATATTCATATGGCCATAACCATATGAAAAATGCTCAACTTCTTTAGTCATCAGGGAAATGGAAATCATAACCATAATGAGATGCCTCTACATACCCACCAAAAAGGCTAAAATTGAAAAGACAATCTGTTCTCAAGTCTGTGAAGCAACTGAAACTCAAATACTGCTGATGATAGAATTGAAACAACAACCTCTTTGGAAACTTGTTTGGCAATATATACTAATGCAAATATTTATGACCCAACAAGTCTACACTTAGGTATTTACTCATCTAAATGTTCACCTAGGTTCACCAAAAGTAATATATAAAAATATTCATAGAAACAATATTCATAATAGTCCAGAAGTAGAAATAACCTAAATATTTATTGATAAAATTGTGGCAAATTCATACAATGGAATGCTATAAGCAATGAGATGAACAAACTACTGCTAAAATTAACAATATAGATAAATTATACAAATACAGGGTGTCCCCAAAACTGTATAAATACTTTGAATACCACTATTAATTCCAATGGCTTATATCTGAAAAGAAAGAAACATCAATTTCACCATCAGCTGTTAAAGTATGATTTGGAACACTCTGTACAATGTTGAGTAAAAGAATATAAGAGCTAGACATAAGAATCCATACTGGATATTTCATTTATATAAAACTCAAGAGATTTCTAATACTAAAAGTTAAGAGAGATGTCAGTTTTGGTGAAATTTACTTTAAAAGGAGAACATGGGATTCTAGACTCTGTAACTGAAGCACCTCCTTATATATTACTGGTGACAGTAAAAATTATTATAATCTTTTAAAAAGTAATTTAGCAATTATATTTACTGACCCACTAATTGCCCATTTAAGAATCTATTGTTAGGAAATAGAACATCAAAGAAATACTTATGCAAAAAGTATTCACTAGAACATTTTTATAATTAAAAACACTAAGCAAATTAAATATGCAATACGAAAATGACTGAATAAATTATGGTAAATTTATACAATGTGACAATTATATAGTTATTTAAAAGTTTTCAAATATGATTTAATGATACAGGCACATGGAATCATAAGACAAAAATATGATAAAAATTTATATACAGTATGATCCTATTACACTTTTAAAGTGTTTATGTTTATATATAAATATATATAGCATTAATATCAAATTGATTATAAAAGTAATTTATTATATTTCTGTATATAAAGTATATGTATGCACACACACATATAGGGGAAAATATACCAAAGAAAATATATCAAAAATGTTACCAAAGCCCTAACCGGTTTGGCTCAGTGGATAGAGCGTCAGCCTACAGACTCAAGGGTCCCAGGTTCGATTCCGGTCAAGGGCATGTACCTTGGTTGCGGGCACATCCCCAGTTAGGGGGTGTGCAGGAGGCAGCTGATCGATGTTTCTCTCTCATCGATGTTTCTAACTCTCTATCCCTCTCCCTTCCTCTCTGTAAAAACTCAATAAAATATATTTTTTTTAAAAAATGTTACCAAAGGTGATTTCTATATGTAATTAGTTAATATAGTCTTCCTTGAACCTTTTAGCATTTCCTACACTTGAACCTTAAATTTCTCAAGTTTAAGCCTCCTTCATGTTTCCTTAAAATGTAACCCACCGTATCATTAGAGAGGAGAAAACACTATTTCAAAACACTGAAGCTACAATTTTTACCTCAAAGTTGTCAAAGATAGTTGTAAAGTGTTTATGTAGATAAGTTTAAATATTAATATGAAATTCCTATCACTGATTTTAGATTTTAGGAGTATTAATTCCAACAATAGCAATAGCTCATTTTAACAAAGTATACTCACCTTTCTTCTAGCATATGTCTTTAAAATGTTTTAGAGCTATAAGATTAGGACATCTTAATACAGAAAACAAAGAATAAAATCAACATCACCAAAATTCCCACTTCTTTTATGGTTTAAATAAACTTGTAATAGTCATATATTTCTATATCATATAAATCACATCTTAAGTAAATAACTGTACTATATCTGATGTTAAATGTATACTCATTATAATAGTAGAGAGCTATTATTTTTTTCAAGGCAGTCACTTGTATACTAAGCATTAATATCATTCATTAAATAAAATTTCACTTTTACTAGACTTACTTCAAATTGGTATAATTCTTTTCAAAATCCCAAACATTTAGCTTACTTTGAAATTATATTTGATATCATCACACCTTTTAAAACACATTTAATAAACCGAAAATTGTTTTTTGTTGTTAAATTCTAATAGTAGTGGAAAAGAACCTATGATATGAAAAGACAACAGAAGTATTTTACCATATTGGTAATTATAACAGAATGGTAAATTAGCTTTATATAAATCTCTTACCTTTGCAGTTAGAATCAGAAGGCAAAATGTCAGAACTGCCGGCATTTTTATAATTGCAAAAAGCAGCTTGTAAGTATCTGTGATACCTTGGGTTTCTTCTTTTCCTACTGATACCTCTTTGTTTTCTTTTTTCACAATGGCAACTAAAGTTGTCGTTACCAAAAATACAGCTCCCCAGAAAAAAAGGAAATCTGAAATTTAAAATGTTAAAATCTGTAACTTCTGAAATAGCATAACTTCATTGATAGTATATAATTCTATATATAATTATAGTAACTTTTCCTCACAAAACCTTGGTTTAAAAAAGTAACACAATGTGCCTATCATGTTTAAGGTACCATAGTACCAGGCAATACAGATGAATGAGGCAGTCCTAGCTCTGTTAAAACATATATAGCACAGACTCAAACAAGGGGAGAAAAAAAGGGTTACAGACATTTAATGGGTCAAATGAAACAAAAGTCTGTCATTTTATTCAAGAAAAGTTCTGGGACGCCCTACCCAATTTGGCTCAGTGGAAAGAACGTCAGTCCACGAACTGAAGGGTCCTGGGTTTGATTCTGGTCAAGGGCACACACCTTGGTTGCAGGCTCAATCCTCAGCCTTGATCCAACCAATTGATGTGTCTTTCTCACATCCATGTTTTTCCATCTCTGTCTCTCCCCCTCCCTTCCACTCTAAAAATCTATGTTACTCCCCAGTGAGGAGTAACAAAAAGAAAAAGGAAAGAAAAGTTCTGGGAGATGATTTTCATATCCCATAAGCACCATCAGTCATAATTCTTAAGCACTTAAGCCATTTTAGTTCTTTGTTAAATCATGACAATTTAGACAATAAACAGGTGATATTTTTATTTTTAAACTTTTAAAAAAACTGTTTAAGAATAGTCTTCTCTTCAATACTGAGATACAGAAACAATTTCTTCATATTTGTAGTTGCACAATGGGGAGACATGAAGATTACTGTTTGGGTTGTTTGGTGAAAGACAGTTGGACCATCAGCCATTATTTTGAACAAATTAAGCAGGGGAAGTGAATATGTTCTGAAAGATTCTGTGTAAGAGCTAAAAATAATAGTAATAATAAGGGCACCACTTATTGAGTATATATAATGTGCCATAAGTGTGCTGAGCATTTTACATATGCCATCTCCTTTACTGCAACAACCCAATAGATTAGTCCCCATCCTAATATATAAAAAGCCAGGGGCCATCACGATCGAAACAACCGAATGGACGACCGAACAGCAGCCTGCGTGGGGCAACCAGGCCGGCAGGGGGGTTAGTGTGAGACAACTAAACGACTGAACAGCAGGCTGCGTGGGGCAACCAGGCTGGCAGGGGGGGAGGGGAGTTAGTGAGGGATGACCAAACGACTGAACAGCACGCTGCGTGGGGTGACCAGGCCGGCAGGGGGGGCAATTGGGGGCAACCAGGCCGGCATGGGGGGCAGTTGGGGGCGACCAGGCTGGCGGGGGGTATAGTTGGGGGTGACCAGGCTGACAGGGGGGCAGTTGGGAGTGACCAGACCGGCAGGGGGAGCAGTTAAGGGCAATCAGGCTGGCAGGCAGGTGAGCAGTTAGGAGCCAGCGGCCCCGGATTATGAGAGGGATGTCCGACTGCCGGTTTAGGCCCGATCTCCGGCTGGGCTGAGGGGACCCCCACTCTGTGCACAAATTTTGTGCACTGGGCTCTAGTCCTATATAATAAGACCCTAATATGCAAATCAACCAAACAGTGGAATGACTGGTCCCTATGATACGCACTGACCACCAGATGCTCAATGCAGGAGCTGCCCCCTGGTGGTCAGTGTGTTTCCATAGGGGGAGCGCCGCTCAGCCAGAAGCCGGGCTCACAGTAAGGCAGGCAGTAAGGAGCGAGGGGTCCTGGACTGAGAGAGCCCCGGACTGCGAGAGGGATGTCTGACTGCCAGCTTAGGCCCAATCTCCTTGGCAGGTGGACATTTCCCAAAGGGTCCCCGACTGCAAGGGGGCACAGGCGGTTTGAGGGACACACCTGAGTGTACGAATTTCGCATACTGGGCCTCTAGTTGATAAAGAAACAGGCTTAGAGAGGTTATGCCTTAAGTTACATTCTAAGTCAGTGATAAAATTGTGATTTTTATGCCTTATATAATTAATTTCAAAACCTGAATCTCCTTAGCCACCCTGAGAAATGCATCTTAGTATGCCACTATAAAACTTATTGGATAACCCTATCCAGTTTCCTCATCTATAAAATAAAAGGCCTTGGCTAGAAAATCCCAGATGCTTTCTAGCTCTATCATTTTAAATTTATAATCAATTTTATATGTGTTTACTTGTTTTTTTATTGCTCATATAGCACAACTTACTGTTCATGGAGCCTAATCACCTTTTTTCAAAAACAAGTAGAGCATTCTTCAATCAGGGCTTTTCCTTTGCATTTAGTCTTGCTTCCCTGCTGTGCTAGCTGAAGGTGATCACTACTACTTGAACCTCACTTACGATGGAGGCATATAGCAATATTTGGTTAGACCAATTTTCACTTTAGTATTTAAGTGTTCCTTTCTTATATGCTATCAGATTTGATTTCATAGCAAATATGTGAGTCAGGCAAAGCAGGCATTATTATTATAAAGACATGAGGAAAAGAAGCCCAGAATATTTAAATCTTTGCCAAAGGTACAAATTTTAAGAGGCAGAACTTGAATCTGAATTTGAGTTTTATAATCTTTCAATTATTTCATCCTATCTGCATAAAATTTTTTAAAAATTAACATTGAAATAAGAATTTACTTGAATTGGCTAATTATTTAGTCTCCACAACCCCAACCAAAAAAAGGGCTATACTATAAAAAAATGACACAAATTAAAGAAACTAAAATGCTTCAAGCACATATGGAAATTGGTATTCTGAGGTGAGTTCTTTCTCCAACATGGAAAAGTTATACTTGATTTTAGATATTAGAAGAAAAACACACAACATTCTTAAACGCAATGGTATTACTATTTTAAAATAGTAATCTATACAAGTTATGATTAAAGTTAATCAAAACAGCATCTTTACAATTTCTAGTTTATGTTAATAAAACATTTGGAATCTGATTCTAAAGGAATGAACAACAATGTAAGATTATTCTTTAAATAAGGCTAACGTTCATTATTTTTGCATCCTTAATGTCATCTGTGAAATGTGACAAATAATGACTTGTTTACAGAATTTCACCTACATTATTTTTTAATTCTTATATGTTTTTATTGATTTTTGGAGAGAGAGGAAGGGAAAGGGATAGACAGATAGAAACATCAATGAGAGAGAAACACCATCAATTGGCTACCTCAAGTCCACAGTCCACAACCTGGGCATGTGCCCTAACTGGGAATCAAACCATGACCTCCAAGTCAACTACTGAGCCACACTAGCTGTGCTCATCTACTAGTACATTATTATTCTCATTCAGAACGATTTTGTTCCTCATTTGGTTTAAATGAACTGTTTAAGAAACCCTAAAAACATGTATTATCACCGTTACAAGAAATTTCAATTAATGGTCTGTACATAAATGTTAAGTGAAAATTAAAAGTTTGTCAGTTATATGCCGCATTAAGAATTCCAGTTCTCTTTTTTAAAAAATTTGCTTAGTATATTCCTCCATTTTAGTGAACAAAATCTTCATCTAGAATTTAAAGTCCTTGATACGAGTACCAGGAAGAAGAAAAAAAAAAGAATAAGAACAAGTTAAACAAGTTTCAGTATGTGCAGGTAAGATTATTTGTAATTTCCTTGTGCTTTGAGGATAAAACAACAGTGCACATCAAAGAAGGAAGTACTAACTGCATGATTCAGAGCCCTAATTTAAAGCTTTTCCATTGCTCACATGAACAGAATAAAGCTAATAGCTCACAAAGAGAAGCATTACCACTGCCAGAAAAGTTTTATGGACATCATTACCATAAATACTGACCATTAGACTATTGGCTATTATTTATTAACATTGTTTAAGGTAATGGATTTTTTTAATGAAGGTTACTTTTTTTGTTAATCCTCACCTGAAGATTTTTTCCCCCATTGATTTTTAGAGAGAGTGGAAGGGAGGGAGTGGGGGAGAGGCAAGAGTGGTAGAGAAAGAAAGAGAGAGAGAGACATCGATGTGAGAGAAACACATCGACTGGTTGCCTTCCAAACACACCCTCTACTGGGGCCAGGATGTAACTGGCTGCCCAGGATTTGATTCCCCATATCCTTGACTGGGAATCAAATCCTCAACCCTTTGGTGCACTAGCTAACACCCTAATCATTGAGTCACCCTGGCCAGGGCTAAAGCTTAATTTTTTAAATTATTATACAGAAATTAGCTTAGGTTTTTTATTTTATAATATTTACCCAGAGATTAGCTTTTAAGGTAATGAATTAGTTTTTTTTAATAACTTTTACTTTGCTATCATACAGTAAAACTAAATATTTTTAGTGTACAGTTCTGAGTTTTAATACATGTATCTATTTCAAATCACAACCATAATCAAGATTCAGAACAGTTCCATCACTCCCCAAAACTCCCTCAGGCTATCCATCACCTTCTTCTCACCCACAACCCCTAGCAACTATCAATCTGTTCTTCATCTCCATAATTTCATCTTTTGAGAATGTAAGAAGGTGTTTTAACCTTAGATATAGATGCTAAAGTATGTATTACAGCCTATATAAGAATAACTGATCCATCTAGAAATAAGTCAGTTAGTTCTACCCAATTCTAAATAGCATTGTTAGTTACATAAAATATATTAATGAATACTGCTTCAGAAAGCAAGACAAAGAATTGGTCCTGCTCTCTTCCTAGTTCAAAGCATGAATGTTTTATAAATACATTCTGTTTTTACTATTATCATCACCAGTTTGATTAGCTTCACACTTACAGCATCAATTTTTCAAAGCAACAGTTCCTTTTTCTCTGACTAACTCCTAATGTGTATACCTATCTATAAACAAGCTGATTCATAAACTGTTAATATGTTTAACTCTCTGGTATCAGACTATCCCTCTCCTGCCCCCAAACCCATCGCAATCACTTCTTTTATTCATTATTGTCACCACTGCTTGTAGAGGAATTGGCCTCAACTACCAGCTGGACTTAGCCAAAACACATATTTTATATGAATCAAACTAGTGTTTTAAAATTAGGAGAGAATAAAACAACACAAAAAGAAAATTTCAGCTTTTGAATACTCATAAAATCTAGCAATCCTAGGATCCTGTTACCACAGGCAACAATTTATTGGGGTTGAAACTCCCTGACTTTATTATATATATATGATTTTTTAAAAATTGATTCCAGAGAGGAAGGGAGAGGGAGTGAGATATAGAAACATCAATGATGAGAATCATTGATCAGCAGCTCCTTTCACATCCCACACTGGAGATCAACCCTGCAACCCAGGCATGTGTCCTAACCCTGACCAGGAATCAAACCATGACCTCCTGGCTCATAGGTCGATGCTCAACCACTGAACCATACCGGCTGGGCAAAACTCCCTGCCTTTAGATGAGCATGGGTTTTCCAGGTCATCATTGTCCCCTCCAATCCCTGCATTCTTGCCCCAACCCACTCATTTACATTATCCATTTATCCCCCTCCATTATTTTGGTTTACAAACCTCCATTATAGACTATAGATTCCTTAGGAGCAGAGAATTCCCAGGTCTTATTCATTAAATTATAACACTGGCTAGCACAAAATAGGCACTCAGGGATGAGTAAATGAATAACATGCATCACCTTAAAAAACAAACAAACATAAAACCACTTTTAAACCTGTCACTTCTGGGCATTAGGTATTCCAGGAGTAGGTTGATGATTTTTAACATCAGCAGTCATAGTGCTACTTTTCTCTAGTAGAAAAGCCCAATGACATGCACATATTATATTTAGTATTATGTTACATTACATACATATTATATTTAAGGAGTCAGGAAATTTAACCCTGTAGATATATCTCTACCTTTAACTAGCCACCTGGCTGCAGTTTTTTCATCTATAATAAAGGAATTGAAATATATTATTCTTTCAAGTCACAAAACATTATGTTCTTATCTCTATGTTCTTCCGGGTTCCTTTAATCAATTCTTGCAGCTTAAAAAGTCATCCCTTTTTGCTAAGATCCTTGAAAACCAATGTGGCAGGACAGAAAAAGCCCACTTCTGAGTTCAGTACTGTCCTGGACCCTTGAAGGTACCAAAGCCAATCTCAGCATAGTAGTGGTTTTGTTTCTAAGGGATTCCATCTCACCCTGTCCTTCTTGTCCCATATTTATTCTTTAGATTACTGCTTTCTAGATGGCAAAAACTGTTCTCAATATTTTCCACCTCCATGTATCTGTAACACTCAAAGTGTTAATTACAAAACGTATTTTAGAATTTCACAAAAAACTATGCCTACTTTTAATTTCCCGATTTTCTAGGCATCTGCCTCAGTGTTTGGCTCTTCTTTTATTACCTAAGCCTGTGTTCGGCAAACTGCGACTCGCAAGCCACATGCGGCTTTTTGGCCCCTTGAATGTAGCTCTTCCACAAAATACCACGTGCAGACGCACGTACAGTGCGATTGAAATTTCGTGGCCCATGCGCAGTTTTCGGTTTTCTGCCTGGGCGAGTCTATTTTGAAGAAGTACTGTTGGTATTTGGCTCTGTTGACTAATGAGTTTGCCTACCACTGACCTAAGCAATTTTATTTCCTTCATGATTATTTCTGTGCTTTTTAAATTCCTCGAAACCACTATTTTTTCTTAGTTATACTAAGTTTCAGAAAGTGCAAGGCCACAAATGTGATATGTGCAGTCATAGAGACAAATGAAAATTCAGAAATTCTTCAACTCTTAACTTACTAAAATGTTTGAACCAGAAACAGCAGTCCACTACAGACATAAAAAGTTAAATTAAATAGTAAGCTATTTCTACAATTTCCTGAAGAACAAAGTTCAAATTCCACAGAATAAACAGCTATTCAAAATAAAAAGTCAGTGTAAATAGAACTGCAATAGCACAATTTCCATCTTCCCATTAGGGAACAGCTCAGGATAAAGGAGGACATAATTATAATGGCTCCTGAATACCATTCTCTGGAATGATGTTTTATCAATCACTCTTATATTAAGAGAAAGTTATAATTTACCTTGTTAGTAATTTAGTTTCTATAGCCTCTCTTTTTAAAATATATTTCTTTATTGATTTCAGAGAGGAAGGGAGGAGAGAGATAGAAACATCAATGATGAAAGAGTATCATTGATTGGCAGCCTCCTGCACACCCCACACTGGGGATGGAGCCCGCAACCCAGGCATGTGCCCTTGGCCAGAATCGAACCTGGGACCCTTCAGTCTGCAGGCCGATGCTCTATCCACTGAGCCAAGCCGGCTAGGGCTCTATAGCCTCTTAAATCTTACTTTCTCTACTGAGACTTTTGTATATTAAGTAACACATCATCTCATTAATCTTTCCTGGTGGCCTGAACAGTCCAGTAAACAATGAAAAGCAAGACATATAAAAAGCAACAAGGTGCCAATATGATGCAATCACACATTATTTTTAGGCAGAGATTTATCCATAGAGCAGGAGTGGGACCCCAGAACATTCAGAGACAAATCTATCTATTGCAAAGCAATGAGCTCTCAAACATTTTTGGCTTCAAACCAACTGATGAAAAGTACAATGATCATTTCATCAGTAGTAGTGGCTCACTAGCAGTTTGAGGAGGTAGAAAGGGGGTCCTATAGGGGGTATATAGTGAGCCACTAGCAATAATGAGCTTTCCTTCAATGTCACAGGGGGATTTCAGGGAACGAGTAGTTCAGTTGTGGATCCCTCCCTCCTCAAGACACTCCCCAAATATTATAACTCTTACACTTCCCTCAACACACGCCTACCTGACATTTATGCTGTTGGGAATCCCTAAAATAGCACTGGGAAGATGAAAGTTTAGCTGTTTAAATTCATCATCACTACCAGAATGAAGAATTCTACTACATTAGGTTATTACTGATATTGGTAATTTTACTTCTGCTTCCCAGTTGTTAGGAAAGTTTAAAAAAAAAATCCTCAGAAAACCTTACAGAGGCATGTCTTTTACTCATGCAGAAAAAGAGGAAATTTTGTACTAGATAATCCAATTTCTTACTAGATAAACTTCAAACTCTTCCTCATAGCATTTAAATGAAATCTTACTCATTTGGTCACTACCTTTCTTTCCGCACCATTTCCCAAACCCAGTCCCTACAATTACTGCTTCAGGCACTTTGAACATCACAGGCATCCTGTACTTTTTGTTCCTTGCTTCTTCACAGTGCATTTTCACCTGGTGTTGGGCAATCTGGAGTTCCACTTACCCACTTCATGGAATCTTACAACTGAACAAGGTCACCTATCTGCTTATGAAGTCTGACTCCCACAAGCAGTTAATAAGCAACTGTGTGCTCCCCTAAAATGTGTCTCTCTTTTGTTCCTTGTGGGTTGGACTCTGCTTTATAGCAGGCCCTTAGAAGTCTGTCACTTAGCCCGCTAGTTAATGTTTGAATAAATTAAGCCTATTCCTTTCACAAGAGGGCTAAATAAAGACTCCTGGCATAAGAATAGGGGAAACGGACCAGAAAGCATGGAGCTAGAAATCTCAATCCAAGGAACAAGAAAAGTAACATGTGAACCACGGATGTCAGATTAGATTCGTGTCTTCACACCAGCCGTACTTTTAAAAAAATGTGTATTAGTCAACAGATTCCTACCCTGAGTTGTGTATGCCATTCTACAACAATGCTATTGCATACGTTGTCTCTCCCTGCTTACTGCCGAGTACTGATCAATTAAGATTACTCCAATGTAGTCATGATGGCTGAAGCTCATTTTAATGGAACAGGGAACTTACCTCAGGTCATCTCCCACAAAATGATTTCTAGTGAATTAAGTAATGAGCTTCCCTTCCATGTCACACACTGTCAAAAGGGCTCATACACGTAAGATAAACCTAACAGCATATTAAATACCTGCAAGAGTAACGATCCCCCTGGGTTGAGGCTGAAACCGCAAATATTTGTTGCAAAAGTCGGCAGATTCAAGGGCCAAAAACAAAACATTGCCCAAAAAGTAGCCCGCTGTCTGGCCCACTGAGTTGCAAGTCGAAGCATAGCCCACGTTCTCCCGGGATAACATCGTTAATGCCCAACCATCCACAGCGATGTCCTGCGTGGCAGCCAGGAATTCAAACAAGAAGAACGTCACCGTGAGAGCAACCACATCGGGGGCCCTGCCATCCGTGTTCCCGAGCAAGCGGTCCACCTGAGTGGACAGGTAGATCATGAAGATCCCCAGGATGTACTGCGTAGGGACCAGCCACGACTTTCGCCGACCGAAGTTCCTAAAGTAAACTGCATCCACCAAGGGGGCCCAGAGCAACTTGAGGCTGAAGGGCCAGAAGACTAAACTGAAGAAAGCTTGGTCTGTATAGCTAATATTTTTGCTCTGCAAAATGAGCGGTATGCTTCCCGCCAGGCCCAGAGGAATGCCCTGAAGCACGTACAGAAAAAGCAACAGCAAAATGCTGCTTAATTCGGCCCGGCAGCTCCGCGGGGGTTTGGAGAAACCACTGGTGCTGCTGTCCCAAAGAAGAGCTTCTTTGTCCCCTTCTCCGCCCACCAAGTCCGGGTGACAGTCATCCCAGCTGCCCGGCGGCAGGGGGCCGCTCCTCATATCCAGAGCGTGGTTGAAAGTCCCTGGCCGTCGTTGCCGACTGTTCTCTTTGTGGGAGACGGTGGGTGACATCTCTGAGGAGATGCCAGGGCTGGGCGTCCTGGATCCGTCTATTCTGAGGTCCGAGGCTGCCTCTTGGACCAGGGTCTAGGTGTGTGTTCAGAGAGGGAGTCGGGGCGCGGGGTGACAAGGGTGCTTCTTACTGCGGCTCGGAGTGCTGCAGCAGGAAGCCGGTCCCCAAGCCGGAGACCCAGGCGCCGACCGGGTAGGTGCCCCTTGGAGCGGCGTCAAGGAGGCTGAAGGAGCCCCCCGGGCAGCCGCGCCGGGCAGGGGGTTGGGGGACGGGGCCGTGGTGCTACGATGGAAAGCGGAGCCTAAGTGCGGCGAGACCGAACGGCCAGTCCCGGCACCGGCCTCCAGCTCGCGCCGCTACCGAAGCGGCTGACAGCACTTTCTCCACGGGACTCCAGAGGTGCCGGGTAACTTCCTGCCTCCTGCTTCAGGAAGTGGTCCTCTTCTCAAATAAGCCGGGTCCCGCCTTCCCAGCCAGCCAATCAGGGCACGTTCCCGGGGCCCAGTTGGAAAACGACACCTGGTAGGAACCCACGACTCTGGCGGCCGGGATCTCGTGGGAGGGTTAACGCGGGCGCACAGTGCGGCGGGGGCGGGGCGCCGGGAGAGCTCGGGCTCTGTGAGCGCATGCGGCCGTCTGGAGCGCGTGGGCCTAGGTCATTGGGCGCCTGCTGCCACGTGAGGGCGGGCTGAGCCCAGCGGCGCCCGCGCTGGTGCTCCGAGCTGGGCAGCCTCCGAAGCGGTAGGGGCCCAGGGAGGCTGCTCATTCCGCTGAGGGAGGGCAATGCCCAAGCTGCACGCTGAGAATTGTGCAGTGCCCTTGTTTTCGTGCGCCGGACAGAAACCGGGAGAGGAGGGTTGAAGTTTAAAGTGTGCTAACCTCAGGCAAGGGTGCTTTGTGACCTCAAAAGGGTAGAAAAATAGCTAAATGGTGAAGCGATGTCTTACAAAGCCCATTTGTAGAATAAAAGAAACTTCCAAGAGGTGTCAGGCTTCCAAGAGGTGTCAGGCGTCTCTAGTCCGTTTTTTCCACCATGGAGGAAGACATGCAGGGGTGTTGGGGTCTAGGTGACCCCATGCACTAGTTGGGTGGATTGGAATTATAAGACTCATTACATACCACTATTTTTAAGCTACTGTAAAAGGTCTTGTAGGAGCCAATATTAAGATTTTGTTTCCTGTTAACTCAGTATGTATTCATTATTGAAATGATAAGAGAAAATAACCTTAGGGAACCAATAGCATCATTTGTAATATAAATTGATTGATTTGGAATATGGTGTTGGAGGAGAGCTCTACCAATATCCTGAACCGCCAGAAAGATGAACAAATGGAGCAAATTCGTTGTCTGAAGCCATTCAAAACAATACAATTTTCCTCAACTATTTACAGGCCAATCAGGAGCGTCCATACAGTAACCAATACATCTTGTAACTGACAACAAAAGATGAGATGATGAGTTAATTTTTATAGGCCACTTGGTTAAGGTTGATCAAACTGATTCTTGGTATTTATTCTCCTGGTTAGGTGTAGGTTGACAAAAAATTAAATACAAACTTTCTTTTTTCTTTTTGCTTCTATGCTATTGAAAACTTCCAAACCAGGTCCTTAAAAAAATATTGGAATTGTACAGTTAACATTTGTGCATTTCAGCAGGGGTTAAGGGGAGGGAGGGACGAGCATAGATGATTAGGGAAGTGGAACTACTTTGTATGATACCATACTGACTATAATGGCAGTCATACGTCATATATTTGTCCAAACCTGTAGCATATACAATGAGTCAACTCTAATGTAAACTATGAACTTTGGATGATAATGGTGTGTCAATGTAGCTTCATCAATTGTCACAAATGTACCACTCTGTGAGGGATGTTGATAATGGAGGAGGCAATGTATGAGTGGAGATGGGGGGGGGCAGTTAATAATAATTATTCTCTGTACTTTCTGCTCAATTGTGCTGTGAACCTAAAACTGCTTTTTTCCCCTAAAACTTCTTTTTCAAAAAGGTCTACTTTTAAAAATCTGTGCGTTTCAAAATATGTAAATTTTATCTCATTAAAAAAGGAATTGTAAAAAAAATACTTGCATGGGTGTTGGGGTGGTGGTTTGATAAATTAAGAATGGCAGATTATTACACTGACTGGGTAGCTCAGTTAGTTAGAGCATCGTCCAGATACAGCAAGGTGTGAGTTCTATTCCTGGTCAGGGTACATATAAGAATCAAACAAAGATGCATAAATAAGTAGAACAACAAATCAATGTTTCTCTTGCTCTCTCTCTCCCATCCTCCCCTTCTAAAAAAAAAAAAAAGGAAAGAAAAGCAGATCATCAATGATTATTGATGTTTGCTGATATTGGGAGTTCATTATACCACTAGAGGCCCCATGCATGAATTCGTGCATGGGTGGGATCAGGCAGGCAGGTGAGCTGTTAGGGGCAATCAAGCACGCAGGTGAGTGGTTAGGGGCGATCAGGCAGGCAGGTGAGTGGTTAGTGGTGATCAGGCATGCAGGCAGGCAAGCGGTTAGGAGCCAGTGGTCCCAGATTGCGAGAGGGATGTCTGACTGCCAGTTTAGGCCCGACCCCTAAACTGGCCTAAACTGGCAGTCGGACATTCCCCAAGGGGTCCCTGATTGTGAGAGGGTGCAGGCCAGGCTGAGGGACCCCCCTCCCCCATGCATGAATTTCATGCACCGGGCCACTAGTGAAAAATAAGAACAAAACAAAACAAATAAAAAATAAATTGGTCAACAGCCATTTTTAGTTCTGTTAGTCAACCTGTTTCAGAAAACAAAAACAAAACTGAACTACAAAAAAATAGAATTTTACTGGAAGGATATTGCTGGCTTCCCAGAATCCGTGGAAGGCTAGGAGACCTGGCTTAGCAAAATCACAGAAACCAATGCAGCTCAAGGCTTGATATCAGAAGTTACAACTATGGATTTACAGGAAACTTTCCCCAAAAGTGCTCCACTGCCAGGTCTGTGATCTTTGAGCTTTATGATTTTCCTTGGGCTGTATTACAAAAATTAATACCACCATCTAGTGGCCCCTTCCTAAATCTATGTGTAGTTGTATATTTCTTGACTGGGTTTCCAGTTCACTATCATCTGAATTATATCTTCTATATATTCCTCAGAATTTTTAATTGATTTGGGGGGGGGAGGTCAGGTTTATTGAAGTATAATTTACATACAAGTAAAATTGTACACTAAGTAAAATTTTAGTGTATAGTTCTATGAGTTTTGACAAATAAATGAATAACCACCACCACAATCAAGGTATGGAAGTTTCATTAGTCCAAACAATGCCCTTGTATTCCTTTGAAGTCAATCTCTCCACCCATCCTCCAGTCCCTGGCAACCACTGATTTTTTCCCCCCCTATAGTTTTGCCTTTTCTGAAATGTTATATAAATGAAATCATACACTGTGTAACCTTTTGAGTCTGGCTTCTTTCAGTGAGCATAATACATTGGGATTTATCCACGTCACCTGATTGTTAATTCTCCCCCTCTACCACTGATGCCCCCACTTCTGTTTTTGTTTTCTCTCCCTTGGAATTCTGAGCTGACATATAGGCAATCTTGTTATCCTGAAACTGGTGATGAAGAGGCCATATAGAGGCAGAGATGTCAGATGGGCTGTAGCTTTTGCAGCCTCAGCTGCTTGAGTCTCCCAGTTCAGGTGTCAGAGATGTGAAGTAGGAAAGCCTTCAGATGATTCTTGCTTCCAGCCTTTGAGCCACTCCAGCTGAGGCCTAGTAGAGCCAGGCTCTGGGCTATAGCACATCTACATTAGGATAGAGAAGAGCTGCTCTTTGTCCAAACTATAGTAAAATAAAGCGTTGTTTTAAGCCAGTAGGTTTTAGGGTGTTTGTTACAAAGAAATAGATAACTGAACAAATACAGGCCTGTTATTTTCTGCAATGTGCCTCCATTTGGGTTTGCCTGATGTCTGCTTACAATCAGGTTACACATTTTAGGCAAGCACTGAAGTAATACTGTGTTCATCTCACTGTATTCATCAGATGACTCATGATGCTAATTTGTTTAACTGCTGTTGATGTTAACTTTGATCACTAGAATAAGGAGGTATCTTCAGGTTTCTTCACTGTAAAGTTACTCTTTTTCCTTGAATAATTAATGATTATTTTGTAGAGAGAGACTTTAGGACAATGTAAATAAAACCTCTTCTTGATCCAGCTTTCATTGATGAACTTTACCATCCATTAATGTTTCTTGTCTAAATTTATTATTATTTCTTTGATGGTTGCAAAATGATTTTCTAATTCAATTGTTCCTTTGACTCTTATTAGTTGATATTCTATGATAAGGAGTTTCTCCCCATTTAATCATTCATTTCTTTCTTTATATAGTTACTAGAGGCCCAGTGCATAAAAATTCGTGCCCTCAGGGGGGTCCTTCAGCCCAGCCTGTGCCCTCTCACAGTCCAGGACCCCTTAGGGGATGTCCACCTGCCGGCTTAGGCCTGCTCCCTGGGGGATCGGGCCTAAACTGGCAGTCAGACATCCCTCTGGCAGCCCGGGAGCCCTTGGAGGATGTCCAACTGAAGGCAGGGAGCAGGCCTAAGCCACAGTTGGATATCCTTAGTGCTGCCTAGGAGGAGGGAGAGACTGCAGCCACTGCCACTGTGCTCGCAGCCATCAGCCCGGCTTGTGGATGAGCGGAGTTCCCCCTGTGGAAATGCACTGACCACCAGGGGGCAGCTCCTGCATTGAGCATCTGCCCCCTGGTGGTCAGTGCGCATCATAGCGACTGATCGTTCCTGGTGGTTCCCCCATTAGGGTCAATTTGCATGTTATCCTTTTATCATATAGGATACAATGATGGATTCCTAACTGAATCAGCAGCTTTAATCTGTTTACCATCACTTTTCTTTCAGATTAAAACATTTTATTTCATTGATAAAGGAGGCTTCCCATAGGTTGTACTTTTATTGTTGATGAAACTGGTCTCTTTTATAGCTGAATGTCTTCAAAGGTCATCATCTCCCAGGAGGGAGCAGAAGCCTGAAGACTAAGGCTGTAAAGGAGGGACCAGATGTGATTTTAGGTGCTAATGCCAGAGGAGAAATGCCTGTGAGTACCTTTATTGGTATCATTGTTCTTTTTTAAAAAATATATATATTTTATTGATTTTTTACAGAGAGGAAGGGAGAAGGACAGAGAGTTAGAAACATTGATGAGAGAAAGCATTGATCAGCTGCCTCCTGCACACTGCCCACTGGGGATGTGCCCGCAACCAAGGTACATGCCCTTGACCGGAATCAAACCTGGGACCCTTTAGTCCCCAGGCCGATGCTCTATCCAGTGAGCCAAACCAGCTAGGGCTCATTGTTGTTCTTATTAGGGCTCCAGTTACAAAGTTCTGGTTACAACCTAATAAAGGACTTGT